CACCCCCTCCATACACAGAGTTGACAGGGATGGGCAACTTGGACATTGGCTACCCAAAATGGGGGTTGGGGGGCCTACAAAGGCAAGAAGTGACTGGCTTACAAGCTTCAAAGAGGGAATCTAGATCCAGAGGGCATGAAGGAAGGTAGACTCTCCACTGAGTAGTATCCAGTGTATCTAGGCGGGGCTGATGAAAGGAGATGTGGATAGGTCTCTTGTGATACAACAGTTGAATAATTGTTATCAGGACTGACTGTGAGGGTTGGAAATGTAAAGGTAGACATTGTGTAGCAAAAGAAGGGGAGTGAATAACTTTGCAATCTAGGAGCAGAGGTCCCTGGGACCATTAAGGGAGAAGAGCAGAGTGCAGGACCCTACCTAGAGAAGCAGTGACACCAGAGATGGAGGCAGAGACAATGACGTGGAGAGATGGGAGTGGCTGGGGACTTTAGACCCAGAGAGAGAAAGGGGCTGTGTGCTGATGACCAGGGGGCAGGCTTGAAGAGTAAACCCTTTGGTTGGTTGATGATACATGGAGGGGATTGTAACCATGGCAAGGAAACAATATACGATAGGATGAATGTAAAGTTAATGTTTTCCCATGTAAACTATCATATAATTCACAATAAAACTTTTTTTTTTAATTTTTTTTAAAAGACGATGGAAGGAATACACAGAGTCACTGTACCAAAACCATTTAAAGAGTTAGCATATGATCAAGAGCCAATCATCCTGAAGGAAGAAAACCAAGGTGCATTAAAGGCATTGGCAAAGAACAAGGCACCAGGAATTGATGGAATAAAAATGTAAATCTTTCAACAAACTGATGCAGTACTGGAGGCACTCACTCATCTATGCCATAAAATTTGGAAGACAACTTCCTAGGCAACTAACTGGAAGAGATTAGCATTTGTGCCCATTCCAAAGAGAGGTGACCCAATGGCATGTAGAAATCATCCAACAATATCACTGATATCCCATGTGAGTAAAGTTTTACTAAAGATAATACAAAATGGATGCAACCATACATTGACAGAGAACTTCTAGAGGTTCAAGCCGGATTCAGAAGTTGGTGTGGAATGAGGGATAGCATTGCTGACTATGCAAAAGCTTTCGATTGTGTGGATCATGACAAGCTATGGACAACATTGCAAGGAATGAGTATTCCGGAACACTTAATTGTGCTTATGCAGAACCAGTACCTAAACCTAGAGGCAGTTGTTCGAACAGAACAAAAGGATACTGAATGGATTAAAATTAAGTAAGGTGTGTGCCAGGGGTGCATTCTTTCACCATACTTATTCAATCTGTAAACTAAGCAAATAATCCGAAAAACTAGATTACATGAAGAAAACCGTGGTATCAGGATTGGAGAAAGATTCATTAATAGGCTAGTATATGCAGATGATACAACCTTGCTTGCTCAATGCAAAGAGGACTTAAAATGTTTACTGATGAAGATCAAAGACTACAATACCTTTGGCTATGCGTTGCATCTCAATGCAAAGGAAACAAAAATCACCACTGGACCAATAAACAACATCCATATAAATGGAGAAAGGATTGAGGTTGTCAAAGATTTCATTTTGCTTGGATCAATCAACAACACTCATGAAAGCAGCAGTCAAGAAACCAAATGACATATTGCATTACGCAAATCTGCTGCACAAGACCTCTTTAAAGTATTGGAGAGCAAAGATGCCAGTTTGAGGACTTTGAGGACTAAAGTGTGCCTGACCCAAGCCATGGTATTTTCAATGGCATCATATGCATGTGAAAGTTAGACCGTAGATAAGGAAGACCACAGAAGAATTGATGCATTTGAGTTATGGTGTTGGATGAGAATACCAAAAGTACTAAACAAATAAACAGAAGTACAGCCAGAATGCTCCTTGAAAGCCAGGATGGCTAGACTTCGTCTTGGATACTTCGGACATATTATCAAGAGGGACCAGTCTCTGGAGATGGTTATCATGTTTGGTAAAGTAGAGGGTTCAAGAAAAAGAGGAAGACCCCCCAATGAGATGGATTGGCACTAGCAATGGGCTTAGGTGAAGCAACAGTTGTGAGATTGGCACAGGACTGTGCACTGCATAGGGTCACTATGATCAGTATCGACTCAATGGCACCTAACAACAACAATCTGATCATATTATTCCCTAGCTTAAAATGTTTCATTACCTTCTCTTTGGGAAAAATGTCCAAAATTCCAAATGGCCTGTAAGACATTCACAATCTGACGCCTGCCTTTTTCTGTAGCCTCATAGTTAGCCTCCCTTCTCCATCTATACGCCAATGTTTTATTTATTTATTTTATATTAATTTCTACTTAGTTTTTAAGGAAGAGTCCTGGTATGGCACTATGGAATAAAGCACTGGACTGCAAGGTTAGCTTGAACCTCAAGTTCTGCAGTTCAAACTCACCAGCCGCTCTTCGGAAGCGCTATACAGGGTCACTATGAGACCAGAAGAGTTATGGGAACCGACTCAATGGAACTTAGCAACAATAACAATTTTCAAGGAGCCCTGGTAGCATAGTGTATGACCAGCTGGGCTGCAAACTACAAGGTCAATGGTTCAAGTCTACCAGTCGCTCAGCAGGAAGATGAGGCTTTCTGCTCCTGTAAAGATTTGCAGCCTCAGAAACCTGGTGAGCCCACCAGCCACTCTGCAGGGACACTGTTAGTCAGAACCCAGTCAGTGGCACACAAACATCACTACCAACACTTCGTTTTCAGATCTTTGAGTATATTTCACTTCCTTAGGAAAAACTGGTCACATCTAATTATAAAGCCTCATAGCATCTTGTACTTCTTTATAGCGCTTATCACAATTTTAAATAGTTTTAAATAATTGTCTTCTTCACTGAAACATAAACTCTATGAGGACTTGTGCACCAGTTACCCATACACTTAGAACCTTGGCATTTGGTGTTATTGTGGTTGTTAAGTGCTATTGAGTCAGCTCTAACTCATAGCAACTCTGTATAGAGTTTTTGAGGAGCTGCTGGTGAGTCTGAACCATAGACCTTGCAGTTCAAACTGACCTTGTAGTCTAGTGCTTATCCTACAGTGCCAAATATTTACTGAGTTAATCAATCCTTCAAAGATAATTCCCACATTCTATAACTAATATTGACTCTCCTTTTCTTAATTTTTAAAGCAGAATTTAGCATTTTATTCTACAGTCTTTTTCCATTCAATTTCATGCACATTTGAGCACTGGATTAGGAGTCTGAAGTTCTCCTTTATCTGAATCTAACTAGGTCCAGTGGGTAAAGTATTGGTTTTTGCTCATAGTGCAGTGGTTATGAGTTGGGCTGCTAGCCACAAGGTCAGCAATTCGAAACTGCCAGCTGTTCTGCGGGAGAAAGATGAGGCTTTCTGCTCTTGTAAGGCTTTACAGCCTCGGAAACCCTATGCAGTGTCGCTATGAGTCAGAACTGACTCAACAGCACACCACTGCCACCACCATCACCACTAACCTGAAGGTTGGAGATTCGAACCTACCCAGCAGTGCTTTAGAAAAAAGGTCTGGCAATCTATTTCCATTAAAGATTATAGCCAAGAAAACCCCACGAATTGGTTTTACTCTGTAACACCTGGGGTCACCGTAAGTCAGAATCAACTCAACTATAAGAAGTTTGGGTTTTACTACTAATTTTATGCCCCAGAGGAGTTCTGGTGGTGCAATGGGTTAATCATTAGGCAGCTAATGGTAGTTTAAACCCACCAGCCACTCTGCAGGAGAAAGATGAGGCAGTCCGCTTCCATAAAGATTTACAGCCTCAGAAACCCTATGGAATAGTTCTACTTTGTCCTGTAGGATTGCTATGAATTGGAATTACCTCCACAGCAGTGGGTTTGGTTGTTTTGGTCTTTATGCCATAGGTAAGCCCGACTTCTTTTTCAGTACCATGAGGTTACTTGTCCCACTTAGTTTGAGGAGTAGCTATGAAGGCAAAATAAGAAGTCATAAATAACACATTTTAACTTGAGAGACCTCAGTGAGTGCTCACGTAAAGAGTGGCTGCTTTCAGATGGGTCTCTTGTGATGTAATAGTAAATAATTGTTATCAGGACTGATTGTGAGGGTTGTAAATGTAAAGGTGGACATTTTATAGCAAGGAGGGGAGTGATTAACTTTTCAGTCTAGGAGCGGAGGTCCCTGGGACCTTAATGGAGAAGAGCAGAGAGCAAGACCCTACCCAGAGAATCAATGAGGCCCGAGATGGAGGCAGAGATGATGACGTGAAGAGATGGAATGGCTGGGGACTTGAGATCCAGAGAGGGAAATGGGCTGTGTGCTAAGGACCGTGTGTGTGGGGGTATGCCCTTTGGTTGGGTAATGATGCATGGACGGGATGGATGGTAACTATGGCAATGAAACGATGTATGATAGAATGAATGTAAAACTAATGTTCTCCCATGTAAACTATCACACAATTCACAATAAAACATTTATATATATACAAAAAATAAAAAGAGTGGCTGCTTTCGACAGAAGGCAGAAAAGCAAACCAGGTTCAAAGTGCAGGTTCTGAGGTCAAACCACCTGGGTCTAAATACTCATTTCACCACTTACCCCTGAAGGACCTAAATCAAGTTAAGTGCCTTAATGTCTTTGCATCTGTTTCCTCACATGTAAGAGGACCAATATTACTTGGCTCATAGGGAAGGAGACAAACTATGTACCGCATCTAGGAAAATAAGTAGCACATATGAGTATAAGCACTCAGTAAATATTGTTGTTGTTAAGTGCTATCGAGTCAGTTCCAACCCATAGTGACCCTGTATAGGGTTTCCGAGGAGCAGTTGGTGAGCCTGAACCACCAACCTTGCGGTTCAAACTGACTTTGCAATCCAGGGCCACACGAGGGCTCCCAGTAAATATTAGCAATACAGTATTATGATGAGTATTACATAGGGCAGGGTCTGGGTCTCTTTCTGCCTACTACCAGCAGGCACTCAGGATGACATCATCATGGCTCTCAATCCTACCTGGCATTAGGGAAGCGGCTGACATCCCCTCTAGCAAAAGTGAAGCATTGAAGGTTCGGACTGCAGGCCCAGGAAGCTGGGGCTGGCACTGCAGGTTGGCCCATCTCAGACTCCAATTCCCAGTGGGAGAAGGCTTCCTTCACAAAATCGCTGGCATTCAGCTGCTCCAGTTCAGCAATTACATGATCCCAGGCAGCAAAGTTATTGACCAGTGCACCATACTTCTGCTCTGAGAGTAGACTGGCCCGGATGGATGGCCAAAGATCGCCAAACTGTACACTGTAGGTCATGTCAAAATTTTGCAGAGCTAGTCGAGTGGCAGGGAATTTGGGTTCTGTGGCAGCCTAAAGGGGAAAACAAAGGCTTAGTGGTCATCTCAGTCTTGTCTATTCCCTCTGCTCCCTAACTCATCAATACCTCAGAGCTCTGGGGCAAACATACTTATAAATCCAGTTATTGCTCTCTCCTGCCTTCGCATATCACCCCTGCCTGCCAGAGATGTGTGGGAGAGAAATTTAGTGGGGAACTGGCCTTCCCATTTCAGGGTTGTAAGAAAAAGAAAGCTGGAGTGCTCATAATAGTATCTGCAGGTTATCAAGAAGGTAGGCACCCCTTGGAGCCTTAGAATAAGGAAAGCTCAAAGAATGGGAAGGAGCTCTGGTAGCATAGTGGTTACAAGTCAGGCTGCTAACCACAAGGTCAGCAGTTTGAAACTACCAGTCATTCCATGGGAGAAGATGAGGCTTTCTGCTCCTGTAAAGATTTACAGCCTCAGAAACGCTATGTAAGGTAGCTATGAGTAGGAACCGACTCCACACCACACCACCACCACCACCAAAGAATGAGCACTCAGGAGTGTATGCTTGGGAAAAGGCTGAAGAAACTAAAAAAACTGTGGAGGTCCTGGAAAAGCTTCAGGCTTAAAAATAAGACTCTTTCTGAATAGTCCTCCTATTTTATGTCCATTACCTTGTGAACATCACAACAGATCTCACAGTGGGATTAAAAAATAAAACAGAGTACATATGGTTTCTGCAGGGGGGCTTTATGGGGAGTCCACAAGGAATGTGGAAGGGAAGGGAAGTAGGGATGATAGTTTTGAAAAATAAGGGTACTTACCTGAGGTCATGCAATGAATGATACCGTAATCATCAGAATCATAGGAATGAGGGCCACTTTGGATGAGTTACAAGACCCACCAAAGCTATGATGAAGCAAGCTCACAGAACTTTGAAGAGCACACTGTAATGGAGATTTCTAGGAAGATTGTTGGGGGTATCAGAGATGAACATCAATCAGGCCTGATGAACATAAAAATAGATTAAAAGGGAAAAGGAAACCTCAGTTGAGGAGTCCATAGTTAGGTCTTGGTTGTCCATGGCTAGGATCCTTGCAATAGCTGGCAATCTTGTTTCTGTCTATGACTTTTGCTCTGGTCTGAATTTTTGCTCTGGCCTTCATTTTTTTCTATGGTGGAGACTCTTGTTCTGATCTTGGCTTTTGCTGTCTATATAGTGAGGACTCTCATTTTGGTGAGGACTCTTGCTCTGGCCCTGACTTTTACTCTCATTAGGACTCTTGTTCTGGCCCTGACTTTTACTGTCCTTAGAACTCTTGTTCCGACTCCAACTTCTGCTATGATGAGGACTCCCACTCTGATCCTGATTTATGCTCTGGTTGGGACTCTTGCTCCGGCTCCGACTTCTGCTGTGATGAAGATTCTCACTCTGTCCTTCATTTCTTCTAAAGGGGGAACTCTTGCTCTGGTCCAGACTTTTGCTGGACCAGACAGTCTCAGTCTGGCCCTGATTTATGCTCTGGTGGGGACTCTTGCTCTGGTTCCGACTTCTGCTTTGATGAGGACTCTTACTCTGGCTCCGGCTTCTGCTTTGGTTGGTATTCTTGCTATGGATGTCACTATTTTGGCTTCTACTAATAACAACAGTCGAACTACATCTGATATTAGTGCTACAGTTGGAACTCTTGGATGAAGGCAAAGGGCAACTGTAGGGAACCTGGGGTTGCTCTTTGCGGGAGTCTCGAGAAGCCACAGAGTAGATATGGATGCCACAGGGAATGTCAGGGCGGCCTTGGGCTCGAGGACCAATGGGTAAATGTTGGGGGTCAAAGGGTGCTCTCAAAGGGATAAAAGTATAGATGTGGGTAGCACAAGGGGGTCCCACAGATGGACGATGGGGTGGGGGTGGACCCCTGGGAATGCTATTGGCGCCACAGGGGGTAACCATAGACTGATTATGATACTGAAGAGGGCCTGTGGAGTGATTGACGGAGCCCAGAAGGCAGGGGTTGGGGGAGGGAGGCACAACAGAGTACACATGGGTACTGCAGGGGGGTCCTACGGGGGGCCCATGAGGGATGTTCTGAGCATAGTTATTAAGTGAGACAGGAACACAAGGAATGCGGAGGGGAAGAGAAGTCGGGATGATAGTTTTGAGAGTTCTGGGAACCACAGTGGGTAAGGCAGTCCCTACTTGTTCTTTGGGACAAGAATTTGATGGAGTTGTGATAGATGGCTCTTTACAAGGTTTGGAAAGGCTAGCGGGGCCAGAGGGAGGTGGAGGAGAGTTATAAGTCTTAGGGGGCCTGGGCTGGCCAAGAGAGCTACACTGGGGAGGGATGACCATAGAGCTACACCTCTGGGGAGTATGTGACTGCCTTAACTCTGTTTTAGGAGACTTTACTTGGGGGGAAACTGGGGTAGTAGCAGGTGGTTCATTATAGCTTCTTTGAGAGGGTAGCTGGGGTGGAGATACAAGCTGGTTGCTTAGGGGTAAAGGGAAGGGGAGGACAGAATAAGGACTTTGGGACAACGGGGAAATAGTAGATTCCTGGGGACAAGGGGGACCAGAAATCATTGTGCCAGGAGTCAGAAAGCGACAAGAACTCCCACCAGTCTCCCAAGAAAGAAGGGACTCAAAGCAAGGCTTCCTGGGAGTCTGGGACTGGGGTGGGCAAGGAGAACTAGTACTCCCAGGACGTATGGGAATGACACAATGAGGGCTCCCGGGGGCAGGTATCTGGGCCTCTGGAGGAAGATGGAAGTAGTGAAAAGAGCCCTCCTGAGGTAGGCTGGGAGAGCTAGAGATATCTGCCTGAGAAGGTGGGAAGTCACAATAATTTTTCCCAGTAAGCAAGTCAAGATGTGGCTTGGGTTCACAAGAGTCTGGAGGCTTAGGGCAGCCATGGTAAAATTTGACAGTGGGTGGGGGTGGTGTTGTGGAAAGAGGAGGGTCATTATAACTTCTCCCTAAAGATTGATGAGTGACAATCATGGGTCCAGTTTCCAAAACTCTATGAGAAAGGGGTGGGGAGACTATAGGTCTGGTTTCCATGGCCTGGTGAGCAAGAGGAGGTGAAATGATGAGGCCAATTCCCAGAGGTCTATGAGTAATAGGAGGTGAAATCATGGGACCAGTTCTGGGAGATACATGAGTGAGGAGAGGTGAATTTGTAGGATCAGTTCCCTGGTGTCTCTGAGTGTGGGGAGATGAAATCATGACATCAGTTTGCAAGGGCCCATGAGTGAGGGGAGTCGAGGTCAAGGGGCCAGTTCCTGTGAGTGGACGAGTGAGAGGAGATGAAATCATGGCATCAGTTTCTGGAGTTCCATGACTGAGGGGAGGGGAGGTCAACGGGCCAGTTTCTGGGGACCTACGAATGAGGACTGGGGATGTCACCGGGCTGGTTCCCAGGGCTGACAGGTATCCATCACAGTAACAGAGGGAAGCGTGTAGGTCAATGTAAGCACTTCGGGGACAGGGATGCGGTGACCTTGGGGACCTGATCAAATAAAAGGTTCGAGGTCGCTGAGGGGGCGATCCCATAGGGCTGAATCGGCCAAGATAAGGACTCAGCGGGGGCGAACCCGAGAAGCAGTAGGGCCTTCCAAAGAGTAAGGGAGAGCTGGGTTCAAATGAACATCTCTCCTGACACGGGGAAGGCAGTGGGGGTGGGGAGGGAGATGGGCCTGTAGTAAAAGGAATTTCAGAGCGATTGTAGAGTCCAGAGAAAGGGTTCCCAGAGAGGCGGGGAGAGCCCTGGGGGTGCGGGGAGTCACAGCTTTTGCCTGAGTTTGGGGAAAGCCCGGGAGTATGGGCTGGGTTGTCATTGTAACCTTTCCCGGGTGCCGGAGGCAGCATGAGGTTGTGGACCGGACTCAATCTTTTTCCAGAGGTTGTCGGTGACCCAGGAGGGAGGAAAGGGGGGTCGCTAACACATTTTTCGAGGGGTGAGGATGACCGGGTTTGAAGTTTGATGATGTATGGAGGAGAAGAGTTCATTGGGGAGGAGGTGAGAGGGGCTAGGCAGGAAAGAAGGGGAGGGAAGGGGAGAGGGAGGGCGGCGGAATGGGAAGTGGGGGCCTAAGGGAAGGTAACCCTGAGCTGGGGGACCAGAGGCGGTGACACAACTGAAAGAATGAGGTGAGATGATGACGTAACTTAGAGAGGCGGAGTCAGAGGACCTACTGTGGGAGAGCTGAAGACGTGAGCCGAAATAAAAGAACTGACAGAGATCGTAACTTCACAGATGTAAGAGGGAGGATTCTGCTTAGAGCCGCTCACTGAAGGGTAGGGAAAAGACACCCCAGGCGTCCACAAGTAGAGAACTAGAATTTGTAACTGAGGTAGGCGAGGAGTAGAAGAGCTGGAAAAGATTTCGTAAAGGCGAAAGCAAGGGGCTGAAAAACGTAGGAATGGCTCTCCTGAGTACCGGGTCAGACCTTACCCATTTCTTCTTATGGCGATATCTCCGCGGGACTGTAGCCAAATCTACACGCTTCGGTAGCTCCCGCAAAACTCTCAGCACCAATGCGGCCATGTTAGCGTGCGCTGCCTGGCAATTCCGACCGGAACCGCAGCGAATGATCTGAGGGTTCCGGTGAGCTAGCGCTCGCCACTCTGGAGAACTTGAATGGGGAAAGGAGAGAGTTAAGTGTGGCGCTCTCCCTGGGCTCTGTTCGCTTCTTTGTCCCAGATGTAAATCCCAACCCACCAGAGATCCCTTGAAGGTGATACCAATGGCGTCATTAGGGTTGGTGGCTCCTAGTATGGCAACTCCCCTCATCCACAGACCTCCTTCCTCCTGTACCAGACTACAAAATTCTTGTTTTTGTTGCTGTTGTTAAAATACCTTTGAGTTGGTTCCGATTCATAGCTATAGGATTTGAACTGCAGACCTTTTGGTTAGCAGTCCAGTGCTTATTCTACAGCGTCACACTAGGACTCCTTAGTAATGTTTATTGTCAATTTATTATCAATTGTATGTGATCATTGTGGTGCCTTAGATAAGCACTCGACCTGAAGGTCAGTTTGAACCGCAAGATTGGCGGCTCAAACTCACCAACGGGCCCTTGGTAACACTGTACAGGGTCCCTATAAGTCAGAACCGACTCTACAGCACTTAACAACATAATTCTACATGGGAGCGCGGTGACTCCATAAGATAAGCACTGGACAACGATTTGAGCCCACCAGTAAACCCACCAGTCGCTCCACCGGAGAAAGATGAGGCTTTCTGCTCCCATGAAGATTTAAAGCCTCAGAAACTCTATACAGGGTCGTTACAACCGACTCCACAGCACTTAGCAACAACAATAGCTATAAATTGCCTAAATGTAATATTTCTTAGACTATATGAATACTAACAACAAAATTGTTTTGTAAAATCTACACTGGATTACAACATTATTTGTTACATTATTGGTAACTGAGTGGAAGCCCTTTTTATTTTTCTCCCTTTCCTTTTATTACTTCGTTCTCAAAATTTATCAATATAAGTTCACAAATACAAAGGGGTTTAAAAACTTTTGTGGAAAAATAAAATTAAAAGATAATGAAACTTTTCCATGAATTTTTTGAAGCCTCTCTCATATTGTAGCTAAAGAACCACCAAAGTTGAAAAAATTAATGGCTATAAAAATACAAGTGGCAAAATAAAATAAATACAGGCAGCATTGAAAACAACAGGCCTGAGTACACAGGAACCATGTGATGTAAAGCATCACTGTAATTGGATAATAGTGATAGCTCTGACCTGAGCACATTCCACTGCCATCAAGTTGATTCTGACTCACAGGACCCTATAGTATATCTGCTCTATAGGATTTCTGAGGCTTAAAAGCAAACTGCAGTATCTTTCTCCCAGGGATCCTCTTCTGGGTTTGAACTGCCAAACTTTGGTTGGTAGCTCAATGCTTAACACACTGCATCACTCTGATCTGAGTGCATTAAAGTGTTCAGTACGTAAATTAGCATAGAGTTTTAGTCTTGTGGGTAAATTGATACATGTAAACTGGACTTAAATATTTTTGTTGCCTAACTACAGGGATTTTTTATTTAAAAAATAATAAATTTCTGCAGAATCACTGCACAAAACCGTTAGACAGTCATTTTGGTCACCCGCCCTGGTAGTGCCACCTGGTATGGTCTGTACCCCCTTAATGACATCACAGGGTGCTGGGGAAAGAGTAACCAGGCACATGCCTAGTGACTTCCTGGATGGATGCCTGGAGCTGTGCAAGAGACTCAAATGTCTCTAAGCTAGTTTGAGTCGTGGAATACTGGGAGCTGACATTAGAAAATTGAAACAGTTACCTAGGAAAAAAGGGGCTGGAGGCACCTTCTAGGTATAAGTTGTAAGGAGGAAGATCATCAGGTAGAAAAAATGCAGATTTATAGTGAAGCTAATGAAGCTTAGCACTGTGGGCTAATGCGTCAGACTGCAAAATTGTTTGAACTGCAACGTCAGTGGTTCAAGCTCACCAGCTGCTCCTTGGAAACCCTGTACAGGGTCCCTATGGGTAGGACTCGACTCCACAGCACTTAGCAGCAACATACAATGAAAACAGTAGTTCAATTAGGTGATGGCAGTTTGTCTTGTGGTGGCTTGCATGTTGCTATGATGCTGGAAGCTATATGCCACTGGTATTTTAAATACCAGCAGGTCACCCATGGTGGACAGGTTTCAGATGAACTTGCAGACTAAGACAGACTAGGATGAAGGAGAGGCAGACTACTTCTAATAGTTTAGCCACTGAAAACCATATGAACAGCAGTTAAACACTGTCAGAACTAGTGCTGGACAATAACATTATGAATAGATACAGACGATGAGTACTATAGGTTGTGTCTTTCAAGACACTCAAAATACAATTAGGGAAGAGCTGCCTCCTCAATGTAGAGTTAACTATGATGATGCAAATGGAGTGAAGTTTTCGGGACCTTCACTTGCTTATGTGGCACAATTCAAAATGAGCAGAAATAGCTTCAATATTCATTATTAATCAGAACATGGAATGTAAGAAGTATGAAATCTAGGAATATTGGGAGTTGTAAAAAATGAAATGAAATGCATAAACATTGATATCCTAGGCATCAGTGAGCTAAAGTGGACTGATATTGACCACTTGAATCTGACAACCGCATGGTTTACTATGCCAGGAATGACAAGTTGAAGAGGAATGGTGTCACATTCATTATCAAAAAGAGCATTTCAAGATCAATCTTGAAGTAAATACAATGCTGTCTGTGATAGGATAATATCCATATATCTACAAGGAAGACCAGTTAATACCACTATTGTTCAACTTTATGCACCAACCACTAAAGTCAGTGATAAAGAAATTTAAAAATTCTACCAACTTCATCAGTCTGAAATTTATCAAGCATGCAATCAAGATGTATTGATAGTTACTGGTGAATGGAATGCAAAGGTTGGAAACAGAGGAAGGATCAGTAGTTGGAAAACATGGCCTTGGTAATAGAAACAATGCAGAACCCATAGCAAAGGCTGTGGTCTTCGATCTTCGTCAGTAAGCATTTTTAAGTCCTCTTCGATTTCAGAAGTAAGGTTGTATCATCAGCATATAGCAGGTTGTTATTGAATCTTCCTCCAATCCTGATGCCATGTTTTTCTTCATATAATCCAACTTCTCAGATTATTTTCTCAGCATACAGCTTGAATAAGTATGGTGAAAGAATACAATCCTGATGCACACCTTTCCTAATTTTAAAACCATTCAGTGTTCCTTTGCTTTGTTCAAACAGTTGCTTCTTGGTCTATGTACAGGTTCCTCATGAGCACATTAAGTGCTCCAGAATACTCATTCTTTACAATGTTGTCCATAGCTTATTATGATCTACATAGTCAAAAGCTTTTCTGTAGTCAATAAAGCACTGGTATTTTCTGTTTCAGCCAAGATCCATCTGACATCAGCAATGATATCCATTCCACGTACTCTTCTGAATCCAGCTTAAACCTCTGCAAGTTCTCTGTCAAATGTATGGTTATAACTTTTTTTATTATCTCTAGCAAAATTTTATTTGCATGCAATATTAATGATATTGTCCCATGATTTCCGCATTCCGTTGGGTCACATCTCTTTGGAATGGACACAAATATGGATCTCTTCCAATCATTTGACTAGGTAGTTGTCTTCCAAATTTCATGGCATAGATGAGTGAATACCTCCAGTGCTGCATCAGTTTGTTGAAAGATTTCAATTTGTTTTCCATCAGTTCCTGGAGCCTTGTTCTTTGCCAGTGCCTTCAATGCACCTTGGACTTCTTCCTTCAGGATGATTGGCTCATGATCATATGCTACTTCTTTAAATGGTTAAATAATGACCCTTCCTTTTTGGTACAGTGACTCTGTGTATTCCTTCCATCTTCTTCTTCTTTTTTTTTTTTTTTACTTGATTTTTTTTTTTTAAAGCTTTTATTGGGTATTGAGTGATAGTTTACATGGGAGAACATCGTTTTTGCACTCATCCTATCATATTTTGTTTCATTACAATGATTACAATCCCTTCCATGCATCAGCATTTAACAGTATTTGCTTCTATTCCCTCTAGGGTTTTTTTTTTTTTTTTTTTTCTGTTATATACTTTCCATCTTCTTTTGATTCTTTCTGTATCACTCAATATTTTGCCTATAGAATTCTTCAGTATTTCAAGTCGAAGCTTGAATTTTGTCTTCAGTTCCTTCAGCTTAAGAAATGGTGAGAGTGTTCTTCCCTTTTTGTTTTCTAACTCCAGGTCTTTGCACATTTTATTATATTTGACTTTATCTTCTCGAGCTGCTGTTTGAAATTTTCCATTCAGCTCTTTTACCGCCTCACTTCTTCCATTTGCTTTTGCATCTCTACACTGGAGAAAAAGTTTTAGTATCTTCTGACATCTATTTTGGTCTTTTCCTTCTTTCTTGTCTTCTCAATGACCTTTTCCTCTCTTCCTGTATGATGTTCTTGATGTCGTCCCACAACATTTCTTCGGTTTAATGCATCAAATCTGTTCATCAGATGACCTCTAAATTCTGGTGGAGTATATTCAAGGTCATATTTTGACTCTCATGGACTTGTTTTCATTTTCAACTTCAACCTAACCTTGCATATGAGCAATTGATGGTCTATTCCACAGTCTTCCCCTGGCCTTGTTTTGGCTGATGATATGGAGGTTTTCTACTGTCTCTTTCCACAGATGTAGTCAATTTAATTTCTGTGTATTCAGTCTGGTGAGATCCATGTGTAGAACTGTCTTTTATGTTTTTTTAAAAAGGTATTTGCAATAAAGAAGTCATTGGTCTTGTGTAACTCTATCATTTCTATCACCAAGGCCATATTTTCCAACTACTGACTCTTCCTCTTCGTTTCCAACTTCCAGTTGTCAATAATTGCCAATATATCTTGATTTCATGTTTGATAAGTTTCAGACTGAAGAAGTTGGCAGAATTCTTCAATTTCATCCTCACTGGCTTTAGTGGTTGGTGTGTAAATTTGAGTAATAGTGCTGTGAACTGGTCTTCTTGGTAGGTATATGGATA